TCATTAGGAAATGACCAGAATGCTAAATGGAGGCAGCTTGAGCTTGTCTGATCAGTTGCTCCAGAATCTGCTTGGAGAAAGGAACACCATGAAGCTAAAATGGCAAAGGTCTGTTGTGGGTGGAAGCTAATTGGTTGAGAACATTAATAACTTATACTTGCTATTCATGTCAAAAAAAAAAAGTTCAGAGTGAAGAGATGACTATTTTGGACCTATCAGGGCCTTGCACTCTGCCACACAATATTAAAAATAAAAAGCATATCCTCTGACTTAAACTCCTCTTCCTACTGCAAAACAGAGAGATAAAAGTTAAATCATTTGGTGGTGTTTTCTTATATTAATATGTTTTTGATTTGACATTTTCAGGCAATAAAATATTGGTAAGTCATTCTCTCACATGAAATGTGTATTACCAGGACCAATGTTAGGATTAGGTTAAAATGCTTTTGATTAAAATCCTTTACTTTCAGGGCTAGCTCATCCTTTCTCTCTTTCTCCCTCTCCACGGTGTATGGGTACTATCACCCACACACAGCATCCTGTGATTGTGGGCAGCCCTGTTCTCAGGGCAGTTCCTCAGACCTGGAGCCAGAGAGAGAGAGAGAGAGAACCCAATTGGGTCACAATACGTTCTGTACATTGAATAGGAGGTCTTTTGTCACATGCTGGGATTGACAGATGCTACTATACTGCCACCAGGGTTAGTCAGATTAGACACTGTAAACTACAACCTTCTGTAAACAGATTTCCCCCTCCAACTCTCTTCAGTAACTTGTGTAAGATGGGCTTGGAAAATTCACTGTAGAACATTCTTCGCAAACTCATTTACTTTGTCTTCAACTTGGCATCTTTCTTCTTTGAAGTTTACTGCTCTTCTGGGTTCTTTGTGGGTCCCCTCTGCTTGTACCTCTATTTATATCATCTCACCCTAGAACTTGTTTGGACAGTCTTGTCATTGAGTTATGTTGGTTTCGTGAATTGTTCCTAACTAAAGTTTAAAGTCAGTGGAATAGGTTGGTATCTCTGTTTGATACCTCTCCTGTGCCCTGTAAGGCTCTAGCATAGTAATTTTATTATTGATCCTCAGGTAAGTGTTCATACTGTTTGGAAGTATTTCAAAGCCTTGGGTCCAGCTTATATATTCATCAACAGATGAATGAATGAAGAGACACATAAACAATGGAGTTTATGAAGCCATAATGAAAACTTAAGACATTTGTAGGACATATCATTACTTATGTGTAGTCAAGCAATTCAAAAAGGGGGTGGTGGTTGGTTAAGGAAACAGGCATATTTTGAGCTGTCTATATTAAATTGAAAAATCAGCTACAATTAATTGGTATAGGTCAAAAGTCCCAACTTTTTAGTCTTAGCCCATTGTTTAGTTAATCTAGTGATTTTTTAGCATGTGGTTTACCATCTGTGTATTGATCAAGAATTTATTAATCAATAGATTTTTGTTTGCTTTTGAGACAGTGTCTTTTATGTAGCCCTGACTTGTCCAGAACTCTGTACATAGAGCAGGCTGTCCTCCAACTCACAGAGACCATCTGCCTCGGCCCCCTAAGTGATGGCATTGAAGGCGTGTGCCAACATGGATGACCCTTTTTACCTTTTAATAAAAAAATCCTAAAACAATTTCTTAGTGCTTTTGTGTTGCTATAACAAAACACCTAAGAAGGACAATGCATTTTTTTTTAAAGAAAGGATGATTCACTTGGTTCACAAGTGTGGCTAGAAAGTCTTATAACATCATGGTACCAATACCTATACACTGTTGGCTGTGGGAAGCTGTGAAGAAGATGAGAGTGGGGTAACAGGCCGGTGCAGAAGATCAAGCAGGTGACTGGCTCTGAGTTTTAGCAATATTCTTTACCTGATCCAGGCCTGTGATGCCCAACCCACTTCTGTGAGAATGGCATTAATGCATTAGTCCCACGTAGGAGCGGTGACCCCATGGCCAACATCTCTTAGAGCCCCCCTCCTCAACACCCCTACACTGGGGATTAAAAGCTTCAACATGGGTCTTGCTGGGGATAAACTACACTGGCAGCAGGGGTTCCTCAAGTGTGGTACCTTGGGCAGCATTGCAGTAGGCACTTCCTGTTGCTATCAAGACGAAACTAAAAGCTGAAGAACTGCTGGGAACTGAGGCAGATGGTCGGTCACATTTAGTCTGCAGCTGGGAAACAGAGAGGTGCAAGCTGGCTCTTTGCTTTCTCCTTCCCCTTTTTAAATTCGAAACACATTCAGGGTGGGTCGTCCCTTCTTAGTTAGTCTTCCCGGAAATGCTCTTACAGACAGGTCCAGGAGGTGTTTCTCCTAGGAGATTTTAAATCCTGTATAAAGACAGCGATGAAGATTAACCAGCACAAACCTCAACTGGGAACTTTTTCTTTTTTTAAATGCATGTTATCAAGCCTCACCCCCAGAGCCACTGAATCAGAAACTCTGCCCTTTAACAAGCCGGCCAACAAGCCCTCCAGGTGATTCTGATGTATGGTAAAGGTTACCAGCTGCTGATGTGCAGCACAGGCAAATCCCCAGCCTAAACTCTACATCACAGCCTCGGCACTGAGGATAGGGCAGCAATTTCGCAGTTGCCCTTTAAATCCAGCGCCTAGCATTTTAGCCCTAAGACTCTGTAGAATGGCTCACCATTGCATCACATGGAAGCCTCCCGATACTACTCACAGAATTGCAGCTCCCAAGCTCCTATGAAATACTGGCAATTGAGGAGTGGGAAAAAAATCTTTGTAGGGGTGAACAAAGACTATGTAACAGATAAGGGATTAATTTCCAGTGGCAGTCTCCTAATTCTGTATTCATAACGTTGTTTGCATGCTAGGCTACCCATACACCATCTGCTGATATACATTAGGTAATTGGGCACCCAGCAGCCCCATTTGCATGCAAAGGTAGTTACACACTTCACATTACAAGTCTAAAATTAACGTCCAAGAAGAAGCCGGCTGAAGGCTTGCAGCTAGGAAAATAATGAGATAAGGAAAAATGGCTTCGGTTAATCAGCACTTTTGGCCTCTACTGTTCTGTTGTTGCTAATTTGCCCTTAGAAATGGTACATCCCCAAAGTCCATTCGTAGGGATAAATACTGATCCACTACCAGATGCCCCATAGACTGCCCAGTCCTCCCAACTAACACCCACATTCAGGGGGTCTGGGTCAGTCCTATGCTGGTTTCCCAGCTATTGGACTGGGGTCCATGAGCTCCCCCTTTGTTCAGGTCAGATGTTTCTGTGGGTTTCTCTAGCCTGGTCTTGACCCCTTTGCTCATCACTCCTCCCTCTCTGCAAGTTTGGGAGCCCATTCCACATAGAGTGATACTCTCTTGGCCTAGGCACATGGGGGAGGGCCTGGGCCCTGCTCCAGATGATGTGACAGACTCCCTGTGGAAGGCCTTACCCTCCCTGTGTGAGATGTGGGTTGGGAGGGGGATGGGGGAGGAGGGGAGGGTAAGGGAATGGGGGATTGACATGTAAAACAAGTTTTTTTTTAAATTTAAGTAAAAATTATTATCAAAAAAGAAGCAGAAGCAGAAGAAGCAGAAGAAGAAGCAGAAGCAGAAGAAGAAGAAGCAGAAGAAGAAGGAAAGAAAGAAAGAAAGAAAGAAAGAAAGAAAGAAATTGTGCCTCCCAGGTGGAAGAGGGCCTTCTAAGAGCATCTAGGGTTTTTGTTTTAAACCTGTACTTATAAGATGGTTGCATTTATCCACAGCGTTTTCTCCCAAACTGCACCCATATGTATGCTGCAGTCTGTTACTGCACTATATTTCTGCTTTATGAAGTGTTCATGCTCTGGTGGGACCACATGCATTGGCTTAGAAAGAGCCATCCTAGGGCAGACTCACAGCTGGCATCTATGACACTGAACCTCAGCTTAGCCCATACTTCATCACACACTCACAGTGAGTCAGGCACTATGGCACAGATCTGGGATACATGTCACTGAAGCCCACCTTTGCCCTCAAAGGTTCACTGTCTTTTATGTAGCTAAGTGTTTCTGCTATCTCCATGTGGAATATTTTTACTTACAAAAAGGGTTCAATGGGTGAAGTGCTTGCTATGCAAGCGAGAGAATCTGACTCAAGGGAAAAAGTCCAGCATGGAGGGCTGTGGCTCTAACCCCAGAGCTTCAAGGGTGGAGTGTGGAAGGGGCAGAGATATGGGGAGGTGCTCTGGCCAGCCAGTCTAGTCAAAATAGGACTCCAGGTTCAGCAAGACATTCTATCTAGAAATACAAGGTGGCTGGGAATGGAAGGACACCAATGCCAACCTCAGATTATCACATACACATGCACAGTCAAGGGACTCAGTGCTTGCAAGGGTGCATACATATTTGCACCTCACCTGCTAAAGAAAGAGCAAAGATAAAACCAGAAAAAGGAAATTTTTTTCCCTCAAGTACCATGTTCACAGTGTCCTTGGTCCCGATTATGTTCAACCTGTGTCCCCAGGGGAATGAGGAGCTCAGGGGATCAAGGCTCATAAGAATCAAAACCTAAAAACATGAAACAGACTAGTTGTCTAGTCACTAGTGGGCTAATCAGTCAGAGAGGATGTGGCTGCATGGCAAAAGACTTAGACTCTTACACTCTTGTTTGTCTGAACAAAGAATGTGCCAGATGTCCCTGTGTTTATTCCTTTTTCTCCTAAAGGTCCACAAGAGGAGAAAAATCACTCTTAAAGGGATTGACTCACAAGTTCCACCTAGAGGAGTGATGTCCCACAGGAACAGTCTGCCAAGAAGTAGTTATTGATGGAGTTGAGCAAGAGCTAGTTATCATGCCCATTGCTTTATATTCTTTATTTGACCCCGCCCACCAGTCTTTCACCTAGACTGGAAGGTACCAGAGAACAGAACAAGTTCTTAAGAAAGGCTCTCTTCCCCAATACCTGTCAGATGGCATTAGGAAGATGGGCGGTGACTTAGAAGCCTTAGGGATTTGTCAAGATGATAACCACTGTTCTGTTCATCCCAGCACAGGCGCACACACCTTGATACCACCGAACGAGAGCCGAAGGCAGAAGATGCAGAGAAGTATGCACACGTGTTACCCCAAGACCCAATGCTTCTTGTTTGCCTTATGATTGTTCTCTTTAAGTATTTTTTATTTTCTGATTCACAGAGATTCATTGGATCTCACCAAGGCCTTAAAAATATCTTAGCAGTTTTAATTACACTTGTAAAATTATTCTATTGTTAGCTTTTCTAAATTTGTTCCTCTACATTAGTAACAGAACTTATGGCATGAGTGAGTGTATGTTTTGGATTTTTCTTGGATTTAAAAGAGCTTCACACCTGTTGTTATTGTTTGGATCTGGTCCCTGATATATCAAACAAGTTGGTGATATTTTAATGGTTCCATGAATACTTTTGAAACAAGCAACCTATATATGAAAAAGGTATTTGTATCTTTTCTGATATGTTCCATCCTTCCTCAATGAACATTTTTTTTCCTTTAGCCTCTTCATTTCCATACTTCTGTAACAGTCAATCTACCCTCCATGGTTTTATTTCTATAATTACCTTTTTTTTTTTTCTAGATGATAACCCGGATGGTAGGGACCACATCATAATCTTTTGCTGTGCTCTTTGTACTTTGGGCACGAGCAACAGGTTTAACTGGGGCACAGCAAATACAAATGCTCCTTTCTAATGCTTTAGCATTATTTTTAGTCGACAGGAGAGATAACATTAGTTTAATGCACAAGGACATTGTGAGCCTGTCCGGGGCAGGTTGCCCAGCTAGCTCTGGAATTCTGTGCTTTCCCTTATTAGGTTATTGGTAGTGAATTCAGTGACTAATGAGGACACAATGGCACAGCCAGAAAAGTAGTTATCTAAAGGGACCACACTAGACAAGTATCTACCTGGGTGGTACAGTGAGTCAGTATAGCAAATGATAGTGGTCTGCAGTGTCTATGGGAACTGCAGACATTACCCATAGTACCCCAAGGTTCCTACATCTTTCAGGCTCCCAGTTCAGATTTCTAACAGATTTAGGACTCAAAATCATCTGGGTTTTTGAAATGTCTCAGAACTTTTGAGAATTTTTATTAATGATCTTTTGGAACCATCCAATCTAACTGACAAATTAGGTTATATGCTGGAACAACAGAACTAAACCTCCCAGGCGCCCCCTGCTGTTCAAGCTCTGAACAATAAGACTCAGTGACTCAGAGTAGGGATGCTGCGGTGTAAGGTAGAGCCTCCCTCCCCAGAGCTGCAGCCAGCTTGGGAAACATTAAAAATAAAGCAAATATAGGTACCAGAATCCTTTGGGGATGTATATTTACCTGGATCTTATTGACATATGAATATTCTAGTTTTTGTACACATTTGCTATAGAAAACCTTTAGAAATAATTTATGAGGTTTTAAGAATGTCAGTATTGGCAGGAAAACTATATTTCTTGGTGTTAGCAGGAGTTTAGCTGTTGTTCAAATTTGCACCTTCTGGGCAGATACTTGGAAAATGCCATGGGGAGGGCTCAGCATTACTCCAGGTAAGGGGCGGGGCTGGGAGGTATCATCTGTTCGTGGATAACTTGTCCTCTGACTCCGGAAACTCACGATGTGCTATCAGCAAAGTTGTTTCGGTGTTTGGGACGACCAGGGTTCTTTCCAGATTCCAACCATTGATGACTTGTCATGTCTTACCTGTTTAGTTGCTGAGCAGGAGCTGGCAGATCTGGAAAGGTGGAAGCAACAGAACAGGGCAAAACCAGTCCACTTGGTGCCGCAACGCCTGGGTGAGTGGCAAATGGAAAGCCAGCACATGTAGGCAGGGTCGCTGGCAGATCCTGCTGAGCTCTGCCACACCTGCCTTCCTTCATACACCAAGGCTTGTCCCATGGGTGTGCTGCTGGAGATGGGAGTCATCTGACAGGAAACATTTCAACGTGCAGGTAGACTGGTGTTCCTGGTTTGATGAAAGGAGCAAATGCATCTGCCACAGTTGCATGGGAATAAAGTGATGGCTTAATTGGCAAATAATTTAGAGCCTCTTAGATGATCAGCTCTGAAGAAAGCTTACCTGGGGCGCTGCATATGCCCTGTCACAGCATAGTCAGAGAAGCCATCGCAGCATATTCATCACGGCAGTTAGATGCTAATGTGACAAAAATGAAGAGAGAGTCAATTTGGAAAGCAAAATGAGAGTGATCCGGGGATCCAGCTGTGGGTATAAAGATAGATGTCGCCTGGGTTTTCATGCTAGGATTGGGGACCTTTGAGCTGGCAGAGCAGGTGCCAGTGTGATGAGCTGTCTAGACTCCCAGCATGGAATTTCAGACCTTTAGAGGGGATGTCCCTCAATGGGAGTCACTTGCTTTCTGTCTCGACTTTTCTTCACAGCTGAAGCTTGGCACATAAAGGTCTGACACAGTTCCAGTTAATATAAAGATACCTTGAGTTAGAAGCCGCCTACTGCCACGGTAGTCCCAGAGATATAAGAGAAACATTAAAGCTAATTTGTAAATCTCTTAATGAATGGCGGCAACAGAACTATAACCATCACTGCACATACTCACCTTTAGCAGAACAAGCCAGACTTGAGGAACCCAGTCCAAGCCCAAACCAGCCCTTCTTAACAGGTCCTTTCTAGCAGTCTTTCCCATGATTTGGTGGCGAGGTAAGAAATTATACTTGTGTGTGTCTTTTGAGATAGCCTCATTCCAGTAATTACTGCTCATTCCTAGGCACTAGCCAGATTTGGTCACCTTCAGGATCACTTTAGTTGTAGACTCTTTCATAAAAACCACACCAGAAGTGAAGCCAACAGTTGCATCCTTTTTCCTCCAACTCAGGAAGACAGGACATCTGAGATGCAGCCTCTTCCTTTTCTGAGACAGGGTCTCGAAGTCCAGGCTAGTCTTTATACTGTGAATGTCATGACTCTATCTCCCTAGAATTGGGATTGCAGGTTTGCCATCTTGTGCCCAGCATCAGCCACGTCTTCTTGAGGACCTATGCAACCCTGGACTTGGGGCTTTAGGCTCAGATTCTCAGCATCTCCTTTGCTACCAGGAGTGCATGTTCAGGGTGATTTTCATTGAGCCTCTCCATCATCTTGGTATGAAACCTTTCTTTTCCAAACACAAACACAGAGGTGCTGAAAATTAGGGAGGCATCCTTCCTTAACTTCCAACCTCCCTAATGCAAACTTTTATAGGTTAAAGGGAGGCTGTAGAACATATTCTTCAAACTGATTTTTAGTTCTTCCTTATCTTTGGGGGCTGGGTACCATCTCACTTTGGAATCTGGAGAACTCAGTATCTATTGTTTTGCAGCCTTCACAGAACATGAGCAAGATCTCAGGGTTTACCTGTCAGCTCTGTGACACTATCTTAGGGTTTTGATGGATGCAACAAAGCACCCCAACCAAAAAGCACATTGGAGAGGAAATGGATTATTCAGCTTACATATCCACCTTGATGCTAACCACCATAGGAGGTCAGGGCAGGAACTCAAGCAGGACAGGAATGTGGAGGCAGGAGCTGATGCAGAGGCCATGGAGGGGAGCTGCTTACTGGCTTGCTTGCCCTGGCTTGCTCAGCCTGATTTCTTTATGTTTGTTTGTTTTATTTTTACTTTTGTTATTTTAAAGACAGGGTTTCTCTGTGTAATAGACCTGGCTATCCTGGAACTTGCCTTGTAGACCAGGCTGTCCTCGAACTCACAAAGATCTGCATGTGACACCACTGCCTGGCTTCAGCCTCCTATCTCATAGAATCGAGAACCATCAGCCCAGGGGTGGCACCACTCACAATAGGTTGGCTGCTCCCCATTGGTCACTAGTTGAAATAAAATGCCTTACAGATGGATCTCATGGAGGCATGTCCTCAACTAAGTTCGTTTCTCTCTGATGACTCTAGATTCTATCATGTTGACACACAAAGCCAGCTAGTAGAGAAGTATTTAGAAATAGTCAGGTATGTGTTGGGAGGACAGGTGATTTTTTAAAAAGCAAATTATAAAATGTATTAGCCCTTAAAATCAGTTTTGATAAAAAAATTTTAAAACATACTTAAACATTTGGCTTCTGCCATTTTTTTTAAACCCTTAATTTATTGCCTGTGTCTCCATCACTTAAAATACTGGAAGGATTATAGGAGCTCCAGAGAGTAGTGTAACAGTAGCTATAAAGCTTCATTATTCCCAATTCTTTTCCATCTTCTCTAACAGTAACAGAACAGTCCACCCAAACTGGCCTCGTGTAGCTTGGAAGAAAACCACCTTAAATGTCTCTACCAGATCAGTTATAAAAAACCTCAGCAAATGCAAATTGTTTTCATGTAACTTCTGTGACAGTGACAATCAGGAGAGCTGACACTTTTAGCAACTAAAGCACCAGAGAATTGTTGCAAAGTAGTCTTTCTTTTTTAAAAAGATGTGTTTATTTTTATTTTATGTGTGTGGGTGTTCTGCCTGCACGGATGATTGTCCACTGTCTTTGGAGGCCAGAGGAGTGAGCCAGATCTCCTTAAACTGGAGTTGCAGCCAGTTGTGAGCTGTGGTGTGGGTGCTTGGAACAGAACCCACATCCTCTGTGGGAACAGCCACTGCTCTTAACTGCTGAGCCATTCATTTGTCTAGGCCACAAAAGGAGTCCTTTTAATGTAAATGTCAAGTTTATGCAAATACTGAGAAGACAGTAAATGACAGCTCTTTTAGGCTGCTTGTCAAGCCATGATGCTTTCTGGCCTCAGATAATTTTGGTTTAACAGTGGGAGCAAACAAGTTATTGGAAGTCCTTGCCTTTGTATGTCCCATTTTCCTATTTCTCATGTCTGGATGGCTGGCAGCTGTTCTGGCTTCTGGTTCTCTCCTTCTCTCCTTTTATTCTCTCTCTCTGTCAGCCCCACCCATCCCTCTCCTGCCTAACTATTGGCCATTCCAGTTTACCTTTTTTTTTTTTTTTTTTTTAGACCAATCAGGTGCCTTAGGCAGGCAAGGTGAAACAATGCAGCACAGACAAAAGTAACACATCTTTGCATCATTAACAAAGACAGTAGATTCAAAAGTGATACACCTTCACATAGTTAAAGTAATATTCCACAGCACAAATAAACATAACACATCTTTACATAGTTAAAATTCTACAACCTCAGACCAAATATCAGTATGGACAGGGGAGTTGGTCCTAACCATGGAGCCACTAGCAATTGTTAGCTGCTGGGAAGCATGTGTGTGTGTGTGTGTGTGTGTGTGTGTGTGTGTGTGTGGTGTTCTCTAAACATGTAGTCCTTAGTGAGTTGACTGTTCTCCAGTGGGAGACCACACATCCAAGAATATATGGTCTTGAGGAATTTAAAAATTAAATAAAATGCAAAGTTGAGTGTGTAGGGTGTATCTGTGAAGAGAAGGGAAAGGAAAAATGACTATGATCAACACAAATTGTCTGCAACTCTCAAAGAATTAATAAAATATTAAGAAAAAAGAGCAGTTTAGGTTTATAAGGAGTACGTTTATCTGTAGTGTCAAGAATCCTGAGGGTTTGGGGAATTTTCCTCCTTGAACACAGGGCAGTAGAGGGAGGAGAAGAAAAGCAAGTGATGTATTATTGGCCATTGGCTTTATTGGAATAAGGAATAGTCATACTGAAGCAGGAGGAATGTTCCAGAATTCTTAGCACAGGCAATTGCTTAATGTCTAGTGTGGCCCTCCAGGCATGGTTTCAATGAAAACTTTAATGCTTATTGACAGAAAACCCTAGTGTTCCTACCCTAGGAACCTAGAACAAGGTCTCATCTTTCTCATCTTTCCATCCATCCATTATCTTCTGAGTGGCCGCCAGTTGGAGAACTTGGGCTGTGTGTGTTCTGATGTCCTGGGGGATGAAAATGTTAGATGCCCACTGCAGGCTTACCTTGCATTCATTTGTTCTCAGAAGCTGGCATTTCAGCTTAATTCTCCTGTTTTACCTCCCTGGCTTATTTATTTATTATTTATTTTCATTAGGTGGAAGCCAGTCTGAGTTTGAAGTGAGGCAGAAACAACAGCTCCAACAGATGCGATCTAAATACCAGCAAAAGGTCAGAATCCATTTCTTCTCGTTTAATTTCAGCAACACATTTCAGTACCAACATTTCCACATAACCATGAAATAACACAGTGACCCAAAATATAAAACCTTCAAATCAACTGCAAAGTATAATCCTCCAAATAAAAAAAAAAAAAAAAAATGCCAGGAAGCGAGAAGTAAAAAGGAAAATATCTAGAATCCTTACCCAAGCCATATATACTAAGCATGACCTTTGATTAAAGGCACTCCTTTAAATTAATTATGCATTAGTTATAGTTTAAGATTGCTGTTTTTTGTTCCCAGAATATGATTTTGTTTATTTCATGCTAATGATAAAAGCAGTACAAAGGTTATTGAAGATAACTGATTTTTTTTTTTTTACAATAAATACCATGAGTTTTATAATTTGAAAAATTATGTGCTTTCTCCTTCTGTGTGCATGGACACACACACACAGAGAGAGAGAGAGAGAGAGAGGGAGAGAGAGAAAGGAGGGAGGGAGAGAGAATGAGAGCAAGATGGAGCAAGAGAGAGAGAGCATGTGAGAATGTAGATACAGACAGACAGACAGGCAGACAGACAGACATACATTTCATGAAGAAACACTGAGATTCTTAGGCAGCAAATGCAGCCTGGCCATTCTCTGAGATCCCAGTGCCTTAAAGTAACAACCTATAATCATGGTGACGTGCAAAACAGACAATACTGTAATTTGCCTTTCATCATAATTTTGTGTTCCTGAAGTTCAGAGTGAAAATGGTAACTTCTTTTTTTTTTTTTTTGTCCTCTGTAATCTCAATACAATTTAGCTAAAGAGAGATGAATCTATACGAATCAGGAAGGAAGCTGAAGAAGCCAAACTCCAACAGATGAAGGCAATCCAGAGGGAGAAGGTAAGTGGGCGGAGGGGAGACTAGCTGATGTTTGCCCAGGTCGGGCTCGCTTCTAGACACTGTCCATGTGCTACTCTTTTAGCCTGACCTGTACTCGAACTCGGAGGAGGTGGCTATTGCGCAATTGTGTAATCAAAGAAGTAACAGAGAAGAAAGATAAGGTGCCTAGAGGCCCACAGCTATAATTAGAATAACTGTGTTTCATATCCAAACATACTGGCCTCAGAGCAGGGTTTCTGAGTCAACATACCCACTGTCTCACCTCTTAGCAGCTTGGTCAGAAGGCAAAGCAACAAAGTAAGAGACACTCAGTGGGCCACTGTCAATTTTATATCCAAATATAGAGTTTTCCAGGGTGAGCGCGGTGAAGGTGAACACATCCCTCTTCCCACTGACAGAAAGAGCAAGTGCTGGTCTTTTAGTATCAGTGATGTCAGACTTTCTCAACCTGACAGCAGTGCTTTAGTGTTGATATAGCATCCAGGGCTTGGGAAAAGTGTCTTACAAATGCGTTAGAGAACAAGAAATAATATGGAGGAGGTGAGGCTTAGTGTTGGAGGTTTGGGAGCAGAACTCATGGTTCTTAGCAGTTTGTGTGACACCTGTTGAAGATGCCTCCTTAGAAACACAACTGTAGCCCGCTTCTCTCTCTCTCTCTCTCTCTCTCTCTCTCTCTCTCTCTCTCCTCTCTCTCCTCTCTCCCTCCCCTCCCATCATCTCTCTCACTTTTTCCCCCTTTCGGTTTTCTTTTTCTCCTTCCTTCTCTTTCTCGTTTCTCTCCCCTCCAATTTTCTTTTAAAGATTAAGTGTTGTTCAAAATTTAAGCCCCATTTTAAGCAATAGACTTAATTTATTTGTTTATTTGGAGACAAAGTCTCACTATGTAGCCCTTCCTAGCCTAGAACACAAAGAAATTACCTGCCTCTGTGTCTGGAATGCTAGACCTAAAGGCATGTGCTACCACACCTACCTAGCTATAATAGATGTTTTTTTTAGCAGTTAGAGTTAGGGAAGCCAACAGCTAACGGCTTATGGAACACTGGGCAGGAGTACTGTTCCCTCCTCCCTGTAGGATTCTCTTCTTGCCTGGGAACAGCCTAGTCATTCTTGGAAATTCTCTGTCATTGCTGTAGGCTCCCAATACTCCCAAAACTCTTCCTATAAAATGATTCTACAAAGCACCACCTCCCAAGTCCAAGAGCAGTTTGTTGCCATAGAGATGCAGGCGGCAGCAGGCCTGGGCTTGCACATACAAACTGTAATAAAATGCTGGAAGCATATAAAAAGCACAGGTAGTTTATTTACAAATTTTGATCCACCGATCTTCTACCAGTTGGCTATCTATTACAGAAAAGGTCTTGACTGAAACTGCCTTTTCTCCTCCTCTTTCACTCATACGTCTCTCTTCACCATACTTCCTTTCTTCTTTGGGTTCTCTTCCCACCTCCCATTTGAGAAGCTGGACTTCCGGTCTGTGAGCGTTAAGAGGTGAAGCCCATCTTACACAGTCTGCGTGCATGTTCAAATGGGACCAGGGAAAACACCACCAGAAACTGGGTTAAAGAACCTGAAGAATTGTTGTTGCAGACTCTCCTCTAAGTCATGTTTGGTGTCATGTAGTCCCTAGAATTGGCTGGCTTGTGGGTTGCTTACAGTTCATTTCTTCATGGCTCAATAATGCATGTTTTTAATGCATGGGTGGAGCTCTGTTCTTTAACACTGAGTGAAAGCAGTGATTCCACTTTCCAAGTAATACCACCACGTAGAGCCTCGGCGGCCTTCAGACACTGAAACATTAATTAGATTAGCCTTTCTAAACAGACAGTTATGATACAAATTTGAAAGTGATGGAGAAGGACTAGCCCTCTAGCCTTCCTCATGAAAAGGGGCATGAGAAGAATTGGCATTACCTGGGATTTGTTGATGTGCACGCTCTCGAGCCCACCTTGGACCTACTGCAAACGGCATCCTGCTATGCTCCCTGAGTTGATTCCTATGCACGTGAAAACATGTGGAGTGTTAATTTCAGTGGGTCTTGATTTTTCTGGCTGATTCACTGTCACCAGTTGAATACGGTGAAATATTTCTGTTGAATATGAATCTGAGGCTGTTCATGCTATGTATGCCTGTTTAGTAGCTCGTGTCAGACAGAAGAGAGGATATTAGCTATCTACAAGTGACATATTCCACATTGCCAGTGTGATAATGGCTGGGAGAAGTGATAATGACTATGCTTATGGAGCACTTAGTTTTTAAAATGCACAGCAAATGCATGCAGGGACGCCAGCCCATACAATTCTGCCCTCGTCCCCCGGCAGGGGGATACTGGCCTGGATGTCTGAGCCAAGGAAGAGCCACACAGACACTGCCACCCAGGAGTCTGGCCAATACCCAAGATACCCGCACGAAGTATTTCTTATTGTCACCTGTTAGTACATCAGTGGACTGATGTATGTGTTAAAGCAAGTCACTTCTTCAAAGCTCCAACAGTGACCATGGGGGCCAAGCTTTCCATAGATCAGTCTTTGAAGGGCAACTTCATATCTAAACTATAGTAATGGGTTTTCATAGGTCACCACAGTAATCTTTTCAGCTAAATTGAATGTTCTGAGAGCGAATGTCCATCATACTCTGTTCATAATTATATTTATGAAATACTCATTTGATTTCTCCATACCCACAAACCTGAAAAATGAAAACCTTCCAACTGCATATCAAAGACCTCCCCTACCCCTGGAATTCATCTCCCTCTGCTATCTACTTATGTTTGAAATGGTCTACAATGCTATGTCTCCCATCTAATTATCCCAATCTCCCTGTATCATCATAACTTTGGAAAGTGTTGAAAACAATAGAGATTCAAGTGGCATCTAGATCCTTTTCTTGGTGTGGCTACCAAAGTCACTAGCAGCAAGTGAAATCATTGTGCTTTTTTATAGACCCCAAGCACATAGTTAATTTGAATACTGCTCAATGCTGAAGGAACAAACCAGTAGCATATAAATTATGCATATTAGATGTAAATGCATTCATATGCTTATTTTTAGGACATCATACTTGTTGCTTCCTAGTTCCATAAAGCAAGTAGCAGTAAGGACTAATGGCTTTAAGGACAGAAATCAACGTTCGTATGAACTGGAAAATATTTCAAATTCTGTAAACTCTTAAGCCACACCAAGAGTCTGAGAAATATGGTTCTTACACTTTGTACTTCTTTGGGTTGGCATTGGTACAGACATTATGTGTTTGGATGTTAAAATGCTTTTATTAATGAATCTCATAATGTTGGAGTAGGAATGGCATCCCTTAAACACGGCATTAAGAGTGTAGACTGTTAGGTTCCCTGGGACCCATTTGCCTTAATTATAAAATGGGTACAATAATAGGATGGGAAAACTAAAGGGTGAATGTACAAAGTCTTCAGCACAATGGCCAGTTCTGAGCTCTTTCATTCATTTGTTTATTTTTGGTTTCACTCTGCTGCACTCACTGACTTAGAATTCATTATATAGATCACACGGCCTCTGCCTTCCAGGTGCTAGGATTAGACATGCACCACCATGCCCAGCTATCCCTATCCTTTTGTAAACGTGCCCCACACTAATTATAAGCTCCTAATAGTCTTTCATTTCATTTGATTTTAGTCTGTCACCTTCTTGAAAGGAAGGCAAAGAAAGGTTTACTGTTATTTATAACAAATTGAATGGGGTCAACGATTTCATGTCTGTTAAGTCCAAATGGAAATTGCTGGAAAGAGAACACACTTGGCATTCTTGGCCACGTCTCTTTTCCAGGCTTCTAGTTCAGCTAAAATTTTAACATTGACCAATATCCAGTAGCTTTTCTTTGTATTCTAGGCTCTAACCACCAAGGTTCTTTGCTTGCTTTCTTTTCCTTTCTTTCACTTTCGGAATAGGACATCCTCTACTATCTCATAGAAATTAAGGCCATTAGGCTGTGAATACCTTTAATTTTCTATTACTTTTCTCTTTGTTGCTTGCTGCCTTCCCCCATGCCTGCCTCCACACCCCCTCTCCCCCAACTCCTCCTTCACTCTTTTCCTTATTTCGTTTCTGTTCTTTGAACTGTTGATTTTGCTGCCTCAGCCTCTTGGATGCATGACTATAGGCATGCATTGCAATGTCTAGCTCCTTGCTACTTCTAGCTCCAAACTATCTTAAGAGGACTAAGAAAGTGTCTCTTCTTGATGCTATGCTGGAATCTTCCATCTGCATTCACTATCCCCTTCTCTCTCTCTCATCCCTTCAGGGACCTTGTTTATTTTCATTGGTTAAGCCTCTCCCCTTCTGCCCCCCACAACCTTTTTTATCTTTTGTATTTTTGTTTCTTTGCTTAGTTTTACTTAATTTTCTCATCTTAGCAAATCGCACTGCTGTACTCTCATCTACTTTCAACTCCTCTGTCCAAAGTATCATGGTCAAATCAATTTCTGGAAAGCCTTCTCTTGTATTTTTGGTTGTGAGCTTGGCCTTTAATAGCTGAACCATCTAATCCCAGCACTTGGGTGGCAGAGGCGGGAAGATCTTTGTGAGTTCAAGGCCAACCTGGGCTACAGAGTGAGTTCCAGGACACCTAGGGCAACGCAGAGAAAGCCTGTCTTGAAAAACAAAAACTAACTAACTAACTAAGCTTTCTATTTAGTCTTTGATTTGAAATGTGAGTCTATGGTCTAATTTTAATATTTACTTGAATATGATAGAGTTTTTGCCTTAAAGAGCATTGATGCTATCTATGCCCATCAGAGCAAGGAAATGAACCTTCTGGATCCTTTCTTACTCTTTTGTGAGTCAAGCTTAGCTTCTGTCTCTAGTACTTGTCTGGTACAGATATAGCCATGACAAACAACAATATTCTCTCTCTCTCTCTCTCTCTCTCTCTCTCTATATATATATATATATATATATATATATATATGTATATATATATCCAACTAAAAAATACCATATATGTTGATGACATCATAATACCTAGAATGTTGAAGTCTCCCTTGTAACCAAATTTGTAAGACTACAGAATGGTCTGGGGTGGGGTGTGGGGATGCTCGTTTTTGTCAAAGCTTCAAGAGACTTTCAAAAGAATTTTCTTTTCCAATTTGAATGAAAGGGGAGAGCATTATGACCAACTATTCAATTTACAAAACTTTAAAACCATCTATTTTTCAATTGCATTGAGTGTGCACACATAAAATAGGTCCTTAGAACCCAGTGAGCAAGATATCTAAGGAGCAGTTGGTAGGAAATTACAAGTTAGGTAAGCATGCTGTCTACCTTGTTCCTTCAATGCTTTTAAAACTTTGAATAGTTTAATGGTTCTTCCTAAGGAGGGCATGGTGATGCAATGCCTGCAATCCCAATGCTTGGAAGTAAGGTGAGAAGCGCAGGAAGTTTGAAGCCAACTTGAGCAACAGGAGACCCTAGCACAAAAGAAAGATAACAGTATTTTCCTGTGGATGTAGTTTCAATTAGCCAGCATCTCCCTGTTAAACATAAAGGTTTGTGCTATTGGAAATCACAACTATACAATTTGAGCACTTAAAAACATCCCTTAGAGACACAATCTCTAGATCTCACCCACTTTTGAAAAGCCAAAGTGCTCCCCTCACATAGCTGATGCCAGCTGTCACTTGGAAGTTGAAGCAGGAAGATTACAAACCTGCACCCCAACCTCTCCAAAGCAAAGACATGAGGTGTGCAAGTGAGCAGAGAACAGAGGGATAGATTGCTGTGAATGTAAAGAAAGGCAGAGTTAAGACACAGCTAAAGAATGAGGATCAGGCTGAAATCTATGATGTCTGGACTGTTTTAAACCTATAATATCTGTGATAAGCCCTTTTGTGTCATCTTTTACTCACCCAAATTACCACTTAGCTCCTACGTATTTGCTTTTATACAATTGGTGATGTTCATAGTTCTTGCACGTAGAGTGTTTTGTGGGGCTCCGGATTCTACATTGAGTGACATAAGACTTCGAAACCTCAAAACAACAACAAACGAAATCAAATAAAAACAAAACAAAACAACCCTTCAACCCTCCATACTTCAAATGTCTACAGATCTTCTGAAATTGTTATTATTCCTTCACTTGTGAGCATCTCTCCTTTGACATACTCTCTCTTGTCTGTGTCTTTTACAGGACAGGTACTTCTCTGTTCATATAATAAATGCAATATAGTATAACATAATGTCAATATAATCATATAATAGGGCATTTGATAAATGTTTATTGAATACATGCGAGTCAGTGCTATTACTCAGGTCCCTTGGCCTGTGGTGGTGTCCTGTCTGAGTTTTCTTCTGCATTTGTCTTTGTGCAAATACGTTTGGGTGATGTGACTAAATCTAAATATTTGGACTGATATAAAAATCGGTTCCTACATTGGATTCAAGTGCTCAATGATTCCTCCATTTCACAAACTACTTGTTCATTGGCTTCTGTTGAGGATTAATAGACCTTTGCAGGGTAAGTTTGGCTACTGTGTTGTGTTATGAATGGGAATCTATCAGTGAAGAGATTGCAGCTGCTTTTCTCCATTTCTGACCTGCACAAAGGAAGGCAGCCTTTTTTTTTTTTTTTTTTTTTTTTTTTTTTAGATGCTGGAGTGACTTTCTCCCCGGTCTCTAAGGAGATTCCTGACCTTGGTTTAATCAATATGTCTTGTTTACATTCTGCTTGCTTGCAGATGCCCACCATTTTGGTGCCTCCATCCCAGGGATGTGGAGAGAACGTCATAATGCAGTGTCTTTGGGCTCACTAAATCAGGACTTGATCTAGATTGTATACTTACTTGGGGTTAATTTCTCCTTTCATGTCCTTCTTAGAATTCTGCTTCATTAACAGACCAGTTACTGCTGAATAACTGATTCCTGGACTCTAGGGAACTTACTATAGGTTTTGTTTCTTTTCTTTTGTTTTTAACACAGAGAACATCTAAACATCTGTTTTACCTGTCAAAATGGGAAAGCTCAGTGTACATTAAGGCTTTCATGAAATGAATATGAATTGCTCCCCATCTTTGAGTGGTGGAGGTAGATCCTAATCAGAGTTTAAAAGTTCTCTTTCATAGCTTTTCCTTTGGCAAATACAATTTTTTTAAACCCAGCTGCCTTTGGACTTGTTTGAAACTTCTTTTATCCTGTGCTGTAGAACTTGTTTCTACACCTTATTAAATTTGTTTTTGCCTAAGAATGTTATCTAGTTTTTTTTTTTTTTTTTCGGCCCATGAAAAAATGACAGTAGTGTCACAGTGAGTAAAAAGCAAGTGGTTTTGGTATTTAAGTCAGGTTAAAATGTGCCAGAGCCATGGTGACAGTAATATCAATATGAAGTCATATTCTAAAGGTGCTCTAGACAACTAACTAAAAAAAAAGGACTCTTTCTGCTCAAGTGGATGGCATTATTCAGACACAGGCTACTCAGTTTTTCAACAGTTTTAAGTGGCTAAGTCAGAAGGGAGTTGGACTGGGTTATTGAGAATCTTTTCCTGAACATTTTGGTAGAACGAGTGACACACACACACACACACACACACACACACACACACACACACACTTTGTATGAACTATTTAATCATTTATTATTTTTAATTTAACATGTTTAGTGTGGAATTTATTATTTCCACCAGAATATTTCACAGGCTCACTTCCTGGAAAATGGATGTTGTTCTCATTTGAGCTGAAATAAAAATGTGGATCTTTGATTCTGCAATTTTGCCTGTCAGGTTGTGAGAGGGGAGGTTTGGGGGGACCATGAGGCCTCCACTGCAGTGCTTATGGTTCATGAGAGGGAGACTATGTTGGAATTTCTGGGGCCTCTGCAACCCAAGGACTTGGGGTGTGAGATATCCTAAAAATCATGATTCTTCCTAAATCATCCACAGCAGATCATACTTTGATATTTTTAATTTCAGAGTAATAGACTAGAGGAGAAAAAGCGGCTTCAAGAAAGCCTCAGAAGAGAAGCGCTCCGGGAGCATCACCAATAGTAAGTTCATGCTCTCAGAACTTTATTTATGGGTTTATTGTTAAGATTCCAGGCTCTGGAGACTGATGACTTCACAGGCATGGGGGGTTGGGTTGCTGGCATTATATTAATCATGCAATGGAGATCTTCCCCATCTCTGGGAATCTGAGCCTGGGACACTCGTACTCACCAAACTGTTCCTTAGCAGTCAAATGATGGGCAGTAATCTGACTCAATTTGAGAAATTTGTCCCTGTAAAGAGGTTGGATGTTTCTGATTAGGTTGCCCTCCGGGGCATTGTGTGAGGAGTTTGGTGTTTGAGGTGAAATATCTGAGCAGCATCTAAACTAAGTGGTATTATCTTTAGGGTTGAGGGCTTATTTGTTTGTTTGTTTTTCAAGACAAGGTTTATCTGTGTATACCTGGCTGTCCTGGATCTCACTCTGTAGATCAGGCTGACCTCAGACTCACAGAGATCCACCTTCCTGCCTCCCAAGTAATGGGATCAAAGGCATGCACCACCACACCCAAGTCTATTGTATTTTTTCTAGCCAAGAATTGAGGTATCATTTATTAATTACTTTGACACTCTAAATCAATGATTATAAGCCAAGGTAGTTTCTCTTGTATGATTTCTGAGTAATAATATTTAATATGCTAATACTGTACTTTGATCATGCAGAAAATCTACTCTTCCAGGCTTTCAAGAGAAACTTTGTCCTAACTTTTGGTAGCTATGTTGTCTGAACACAGATTATAAGAAGACAAAAGCAAAGTACTCTACATTTTACAGTGCAATTCTAAATGTAGAGTTAGAACCAAGCAGACAAGGCTTCCAGATCTCAGCTCTGACCTTGAGTGAAAAATTAAACCTTTTGCACCTGAGTGTTTTGTTGGTTTGATCTCCATCTTCAGAATAAGGGTGATCATATCTGCATAATGGGCCAATTATATGGATTAAAGGAAATTTCTAAATGGCTTAAAAGTGCCTGGATATTCTGGGGCTTGGGGTGGAATTTCTTACAGGAGTCCTCATTAGATGGAATCGTGCAAATTCATTTGACAGGGTCAGTAAGGTAAAAGCTTTCTGCCCCACTAGAGCCAGTAACTAGGCTCTCACCATCACACATTCCGAGTGCTCGGAATTCTCTCTGCCTATCCTTGCCCCTCCTTCAGGGATCTCTCAGCTGTTGAACTGCTCATGGGGGTGGCATTTTAGAGTGTGCTTCCTCTCCAAGACTAGCATTCCCTATCCTTATTGGAGCATTGGGCTCAGCTTGCCTCTATCTCCAGCAGTGTTCAGGCTCAGCAGCAAGAACAGAAACGGAGCTCCCAAACCTGTGCATTCATTGTTTCTTACCAGCTTAGGGTCAGGGCTGGGAAGTTGAAGGACTTCAGTTTGCCTTTGGCGAGTTTCAGACAGGGCAAGACAGAGGAGAGCTTCTTGGAGGTTTCAAAGGTTGTAGGCTGGTCTACCCAGCCTCCTCTCTTTTCAAAGTTCCCTAGTACCTTGAGTTTGTGTTTTACTAAATGCTAAAGATCAGTCACCCTTTAATGTAGGGAAGAAAAGGAGGGCTTGCTCTCAGCCACCGCACACACTATGGGCAGAGTTGAATTCAATTACATGCACATTTCACTCCTGCTCTTTCTCCTGCCGGTTAGCCAGGAAGAAAGGGGAATTGGAAAAAAACCAAAAACCAAAACAGAACCAAAGAAGTACCTTAAACTGACTTTTAAAGTCTTTTGAGAAACACAAGAAATATAGGTACATGTGGTTTTGTTTGTTTGTTTTGGTTTGTTTGTTTTTTTTTTGTGAAGAACATTGTTTTGAATTATTTTTGAAATTAAGCAACTTCATAGAAGTTACTTAGCCGATTTAGAGAGAGGATGGGGGAAGTCTAGCAAAACTGACAGATTCCTAACAGTATAAAGATTTCACCAAACCTCAACCAGACCCTCAGCCTCCCACGCCCAAATTAGATTCTTTTGCTGCTGTCAGGCGAAGGAACACAAAATAGAAACCAAACAAGCAGTTCTTTCAAATGAGTCCATACCTTGCGGGGGTGGGGTGGGGGTCAGCCTGCTGTGGGTGGTGATGGGTGGTGCAAACAGCAGACCAGGAACAGTGATTTTTGCTGTTGAGAAGGGCCTTGGTGGACTTGAGCGGACTGTAAAACCAGCATCTGGAGAAATGGAGACGAGACATACAATGGCCGCCCTTCGTCCCCCAGAGCATCTTAATGTGTTCTTTCTTCACACCTAGCTCCTGACTCTGTTCATTTGCTTCTGATTATTTTTAGTGTTGTCAATTATTTAGCTAACAGGCAGAAAACTAGGCTTTTATTGACAACCAAAGGCACTCTCCTGAGTATAATAATGAAGGCAGTTTATTGAATGCCTGTGAGGTTGCTTTCTAATTGTACGCATTAATCTGCCCATGCAAGCTGGCTGAAAATCCACAAGCAGATTGCACATGCAGATGGAGCACACGGGATGGTTTTTATGAAAAGACCTCCACAATGCACTTCTGGAGCACCGTCTTTTCCTTAAAAACTGAGTGGCTGTGACTATTGCAGACGGCGGCTGAGAACAGACCTGATTAATGACGCATTAAGTTTGCCACTCTGGCTGGGGACATACTCTAATTTCACAACTCAGAACTAGTTCTAGGATTCTCAGACCTGAAGGCAGAGGGTGGAATGGACCTTTAACCTTGACATAATTTTCACCAAAACTTTTAGTCTCTATTTACTGCCTATAAAAATTCAAATGTGATTTGTTTGTATGTGTGGGGGGGGGGAGGAGGGGTCGGGGTGCTTTCCTACTATCTGATAGTACAGAAGAATGCCCAGCTCTGAAGTGAGGGTGAATGAATTTTTATTTTTATATCAAAGAGAGACTGTGGATGTTTAGAACACCGAGTAAAATAAATGTCAATATTTTATTTTTTTCAGGTTTCCTTTTCTTTAAAAAAAAATTCATTTTTTTGAAAATCTCACATAATATATTTTGATCATATTCATCCCGAATCCTTCCCCAGATGCCTCCCATCTTGCTATCTACTCCCCAATTTCATGCCCCTTTTTTCTTAGTCTAGTAATCCACTGACTCCAGTATATTTTAAATGTTAAAGATAATTTATCCTACAAGTAATGTCATTTTTATAATTATGTATTTTTATTTTTGTGTGTTTTTTTGATGAATTTTGATATGGATTTAGTGTCTTTTTTGTTTATGGTGTTTATTTTTGAGACAGCGTTTCTATGTAGCCCAGACTGTCCTGGAACTTGCTATGTAGATCAGGCTGGCCTTGAACTCACCAAGAATTGCCTGCCTAAATGCTGGGATTAAAGGTATGGGCAACCATACCCAGCTGTGTTTAGGTTTTAAGGCTATTAAGCATTGATAGTGAGGGTAGGATAGGGTCAAGCAATTTGCATGTTGATATTAGGAAAAATAGAATTATCTGAAGATTTTTCTGGGAGCATATGAACTGGCTATGTTTTAAATGCTAAAATTGTATTTCATCGCTAGTGACTATTTACTGTAAGGGATCATGTGTTTGTGTCATCTAAGAAGTACAATGTGCTTGGCTCTTTCAAATAGAAATAGCAAGAAGCTGCTGTGTAGTTGAGAAATGGAATGTCAGGCTCTGTGATAGACACTGAGCCTTTAAAATATGTTTAATTTTCAGGTTAAATTTGCTAGAGATACATTATCCCCGCATCCTCTGCCAGCCAACCTTCCTTTATAGGATGAGCCTTGAATAGCTGAAATTTTCCAATGTCACAGAGACAGTAAGTAATTCAGCCAAATCTAGGCTCCTAAATTTGGGAGATTTTGAAAAAAGATAGACAATAGATATAATTTGAGGGCACAGGGCACTGAGGGTCGGGAACATCAAGTCTGGTGGTGGGATACGACAACATGGGTATTGGAGATAAGCCTGTTGAAGAGTGGCTCTTTCTACCACAGCTCTAAATTTGGTCTAGAGTAGGCAAAAGAAAGACCGGAAAAAAACCAAACCAAACAAAACAAACGAGTCTAGTGTTTTGTTTTCAGCAGTCATCAAATATGAGCAACATCTCCCACTCCCTAGGTCCAACCTGGTTAGTCCTGTAGCTGATCTCAGGCAGAGGGGACACGTGTTCGTGATCTATCTGAGGTGCACTCTTCCTTCAAGTAGCAATCTTCCAGAATTGCTTGATAGGACCAAAAGGCTCAATTATTTAAAGTTTATTAATTTACTAGTGTATATGGCGTGTGTGTGTGTGTGTGTGTGTGTGTGTGTGTGTGTGTGTGTGTGTTCTGTACATGTGGAGGTCATAGAACAACTTTGAGACAAGCTTTCTCCTTCTATTCTGATATCCTGGGATCCAGGCCAGGTTAACCAGTTTGTGAGGCAAAGCACCTTTAGCCACTGAGCCATCTTGCTTGCCCAAGGATCTCAATTCTTAAAACTTTGGTTGGAAAATGTTTTGGAACCAAGTCCACTTCCCACAAGGACCTTACTCCTAAACTGCCATGCCCCTTCCCCAGCTCTGCCCCGGGAATGTAATATTAGGAAATGTTCCTCATTTCTACCATCAGAGACACGTTTTTCCTTTACATCCACTGGAATAGTTATGTGTGCTAAGTTCTTTAGAGGCACATCTGCATCTGTTTTAGTTTCCTGGAGCTGAGAATCCAGAGAGATTTGCTGAATATACACACTTCAGCCCTGAGTTTGCCTTCTAACCTGCTTGAGAAACTCCTAATGCCCTTCATGGGAACTTCTGAAAGACACTTAAGGGCTCCAGGGGTCCCTTGTCCATGTGGTAGGCTTCAATCCAACCTTGAGTTTTATAATTTAGGTAAGGTGATTGGAAAGTCATCCTGTTCATAACTTCCTAGCTTATGCTAATGAAGTGAACTTAGAGATATAAAATTCCTGTGTCTGTTTTGTTCACTATGAAACTGAGCAGTTTCTGAAAGATTCAGTTTGAGGGAAGTACGTACTGCTGAACGTTAAACCATGCTGT